GTACAGACTCTAAAAAGTTATTTTAGGCAAGTACCCAGAGGCCATTTTTAAAACCATGAGGCTGGATAAGGAGACTATGATTCTAATGAATCCTGGCACTCCTTAGAAATAAATTAAGGGTTTCCTTCCAAGCAGAGTGGCTAGCAGGCTGAGAAGACATATTTTAAAATGGTGGAATCCAAACATAAGCTGGATTTACATTTTTAAAGTTTTTCACATTTTCTCTCTTCCCCAGTGACTCTGGCATTGTCCGGTCTAAGTTGCTTTCTTACAATGGTACCTTGGGTTCATTTTATGAGGTGTGGAACAGAGAGCCAGCCCCAAGCTTTGACTGGCTGAACTTTCCATCCTGCTTTAAACAACCTGAGAAAAGTCACTGTGATTTATGACAGTAGTTACGACTACTCTTTTACTTAGCCAGGAACAGTCTCATGTGTATATGTATGTGTGGGTGTGTGTGTGTGTGTGTGTATGTATATTTTTTTTAAAGCATGTTTTGAACCACTGCAATTTCTGTGATTCTTGCTTCTTGACAAAACATCTGAATGGTTCGTTAATTAGTTTATGCAACTGTGGGGCCTTCCTTACAAGTGAGGGCAGGATGAATATAGGGGAAGGTTTACTTTTTTCTTCCAGCTACACTCAGTTACAATCTTGAGGAGGGTCAACTAAACAGACCCATGGTGTGAGCCTGCTGGGTTATTTCCATTCATTATGTCCATATGTCCAGCAAATGTCATTATGTCCAACATAACAGCTCACAATCATGCAGCAGGTGCTGGTGTCTGTATCATTCACTGAGGTCCTTTCATGCTGGTGTTTTAGGTTGTGTGAATCCCTTCCACCATCCAAAAAGATTTCCCACCCCTGCACTGAATGTTTCTGAAAAATTAGGAGGCCAGGCCTGTGTTTGCAAAGGTTTTTTGAGATGATTGTAAGGTATTAGTACAATACCTTTTAAATTGTGTGATGCATTTTCTGTATAGTAGCTTAAAGAGCTTTCTTCATATGTTCTATGTGCTTTACACAGAACACAGGACAAAAATACTGCTATTTTGAATAGAGGTGAAAGCCAGGTGCATACAAGCTTTTGCAACAGTGATCCATATGAGAACATGGTCATGCATCCTTGGGCAGACTTTCTGCTATCGACAGAAGATAGGCTGATTATTATGTGCAATTCATTGCCAGAGCTGATTCCTTGCCTTTCTCAGACACTAAAGAGAGCTTGGTGGAATGCAAATCAGTTAGATGAGAGTAAAGTTAGTCAACTTAGTAAAATCAGATTCTTCTTTTTAAAAAGGGAAATCTTTGCAAAGAGTGTTAGAGAGCTACTGCTTGTGGTCTATCTTACAATGGACACCAGTACCTCAGGTGCCAGGACCTTCCTGCTGAGGACTTTTACTCCAACTAGAACAGTAAAATCAGAGCCATCAATTATCATAACATAGAATTTTATACAATTTATTAGGGATTTATATGTTATTAAGGAATATCCTAAAAAGGATAGTTTTTTTTTTCAAAGCATCAAAATAGCTCCTAATTCTGGCAAAAATGAGTTTCTGCTTAAATATTAGGTGTTCCTTAGCTTTTACCTGTATTGACATGTCGGAGGGAGCGGAGACCCTTTGCAAGATGACATGTGGATTTTTGAGTTATTCCATATTTTCCCAGCCATATTAGATTATGTAATGTGCGCTGGATAGATTTTATACTCTCTCCTACCGTGTCCAAAGGAAATGCTGCTTCGGCTTACCAGAAGGCTCTTCCAGTCGGTGCCTGCTATGCTGAATCTTATGCCTCTGCTTTCTTTGATTCAGCCTTTCCTGATCTCCTCATCAGGAGTGATCTCTTCTCTGAAACTTCATGGTATTTTAATCATTCTTCAATGGCCTTTAACAAGTCCTCTTTTGCTCTATTGCTCTTTGTGTTCTTGTTCTCATAAGCTATCACAGAAGGGAATCAGGATTTGCCACTCCAAAATATGCCACTTGGGCATAAAAATTACTTTAGGCTGAAGGCATTTGAGTTGCTGAAATCCATTATATGCCCACCATCAGAGCCTTCCAAAAGAACTCTGTTATCATAAATCCCTTCCCTGAACCAACTCTATTTTATCTTCTCAAAGAAGAGAGAAGTCAGCGTAATACCCCAAGCAGACGTGGTCACAAAGCTATTACATCTCCTATCTATTCTCCTAAGGGTCCATTTATCTTTCAGAAAAGTTCTTTGTTGTTTCCATAAGTGCCTTTTCTGCCTACCTTCTAAAAAGTAATTTGTTCTCACAGAAGGGCACTTCTGCTCCTACTCATTCTTCATTAAGATGGTAAATAGCCAGGCATGGTGTCACAGGCCTGAATTCCCAGCTACTTGGGAGGTTGAGGCAGGAGGATCACAAGTTTCAGGCTAGCCTGCGAAATTTAGCCTGTGAGACGCCCATCTCAGAATAAAGAAAAATTATAAAGAGAGCTGGAGATGTAGCTTAGTGGTAGAGTGCTTGCCGTTGTGATAAGCCTTGAGTTCAATCCCCAGCAACACCACCACCAAAAAAAAAAAAAAAAAGGTGAATGAACCTCAAATTCTTACTGCTTCCTTGACTCACATTTCCCTTTGCACTCCTATGTATGTGGATGAAAATCTGTCTTTTCTCTTTTGCTAATCTGTCTTTTGTCATTCAATTTGCAGCCCCTCAGATAATGAACCTAAGAGTTAAGAAAAAGTCTTTTCTCCATGATGCAATTTTCTTGCTGGTAAAATAAGAGGTAGTGCATGTAGTGATAAATATTCGACAGCAAGATCTGATAATTTTTAGAATTCTTGTATTGCCACTTCTCTTGGACAAATGACTCAGCCTGTTTGAATTTCCTTTATATGTGAAATGGGTACTTTTCCTACTTCTCAGGGTCACTGTGGGGATTAAATCAGATAATGTGTAGCATAGTGTTGGATGCATAGCAAGTTCCTTAAATAGTAGCTTTGGTTCATTATGATGTTTGTAGCCTTCCTAGCAAATATTTTATATTTTATGTTCTTGATGACTATTGAATTAGTTCGGATTGAATTTGCTGCATTTAGGCCTCTAAAAGAGCTAAAAAACATCTACTAGGGAGTTTTAATTCTTTCTTCTCTCAACTCCTAGGGCCCTTCAAACACGCACACTTGAAAAAGTGTGTTTGTTTTATCTCTTCTGTTGGATCTAAGTTTCTGTATAATATTTCATATAGGGTATAATGTAGGCAACTAATAAGTATTTACTTAATGAATGAATGATTCTCTTGCTGTACTTTGCCCTGCATTAACCACACTAACCAAATAATTTCTTTTGTGTGGGAGAGATCTGGTTTAGTTTCTTAATAACCATTCCTGACAGTCAGGGAAGCTTCACTCTCTGTACTGAGGTTTAAAAAAAAAAAAAATCTGTCCTTGAAAAGAAATCATTAGTAGAGCCAAAAACGGAATTCAGGAGTCCAGGCCAACAGTTATACACATTTTATCTCCCTTTTTATGAATGTGAATTGCTGTGGGCATCTGATAGGACGGCGACAAAAGCTCAATCTGCAGACCATTTCAGGCAGCAGCATTAGTGGGAACACGTTGGGATCAGATCGGGAATCACTGATGGAAAAGGTACAAAAGGTTATCTAGCCTCTACCCCTTCTGGTGCCACCACGGGGCTTCTGGGGGTTTTGTTCTTTTTATGCTTCAAAATGGGAATGGAATGAGAAAGAAGAGGACTTATAGGGGGAATTTGCATGAGAATAGGGGACTGGAGAGAAGGGTAATGTCAGAGAAATTTGTATGTACTCTAAAGGCCACCGGGGTGTGTGAGAAGTGTTATGTGAGGCAGAAGCTGAGGGAGCAAAGAGAGACCAAAATAATTGTCCATGGGGCACATCCTTTTTTTTTTTTTTTTTTTAACCTTTCTTCCTGATCTAGAAAATGACAGATTCCTCCTTAGCAGTTGGCAGCGCTGAAAACCTTTGATTTAATCCATCTCCTTTTTCTTCTAGAGCACTAGTTGAAAAGTGCATTAAGTAATTGTAACATTGGGCACATTCTGCAGGGGGAGGGATACTGCTTACCTGGTCCACCCCCTCGGGGCACCAGAATCTGGACTCTCACTGTCAGTCTGTTGTCTTTTTTTTCTCTGAATACAGCTGTAACAATACCTAGAGGGGTTCATTAGCTTGGAACTTTATAGAGATAATAAAAGCATTAATTACGGGTGCCAAAACCCACACAGGGAAGGAGACCCAGATTTACGCGGCACTGAAGGTGACCACCATTTTATATATAACAACCTCAAACACCTTACAGTGTGGTTCCGCTATTAATTTATTATTCTTCACTGCTGGGGATGTGTGCCTAAGGAAGGGTCTCCGCTGGGTGCATATTCACCTCTTTGTCAGCCAGTTCTGTGTTTTGTCTGCTGACCTTTCAGAATGTCCCATGCCACTCTTATTCTGCACCGGAATGGTCGCTTCCTCTTATCAGGGGCCATTTCTCTTTTCTGCTGCTAATTGAACATTCCCTACTGCAGATGTTCTCTGTTGAGAGCTCAAATATCAGAATCCCTGTTAGCTGACAAATGGCCACTACACATGCTCCAAGGTATGTGCCTGTAGTCTGCTTTTGGGGTTCAAAAAACTATAACCCTCAAATATGCCACATTGGACTTCAAATTAAGAGCCATTGGGGAGGGAGCCTCAGATGCAGGAGAGGTTTTGCCTTGTCTCCCTTCATGGCCAAATGCTCCAGAAGATAGTCAATTGTTGTGACTCCCTTCTCCAGATGTCCCACCAATCAAGGAAGACTGAGGCATGTTGCAGACGGAGGTTTGGAGTTGACATCACACACCGCACCCCAACAGACTTTGTTTCAGGTTTTGGTCTCAAGCTGTTGTCTCTTTTTGAGTACATTCATCTTCCCTAAAAATCATTTACTCTTCCTCTAAAATTGTCTATACCCCCCACTTCCCCTATCTAAGCTTACAAACCTCTCTGGATTTTTGGGTACTCAACCTTCTGCGATGCCCCTGGACACATGGTAAACTCGTTTGCCTTTTCTCCTGTTGATCTACTGTCTGTCAGTCTACTTCAGCAGACTCAATGATTGAACCTGCAGAGAGTGGGGGTGGGAAGTGCCCTTTGCTCCTACATTATTCTGTGCCGAGGTTTTCTCTGGCTGTTTTCACTTTAAGACAAAATGGGAGTGGTCTGAGTACTAGGCAGCTGCAGTCTGTGCACAGCCTGTGCTACTGGTACAGTTTTTTGGTTTGCTCATGGGCTCTGACCCACCTAACAAAATACTTGACTCACTCAGGCTGTTTTGGTCGTGAAATAATTAACTATGGGGCTCATGGTTAACTTATTGTCTCCAATGCTCAAGTGCCGGGAGGGCAGGGATCAGGGCTCCTCTTCATGGTCTATGGCATCGAGACCAGTAGGTTGCCCTTCATCAGTGGTTTGATCAACGGTCAGATATTCCACCCCTGGTTATTGGAAGTGTCTCTTTTACACTGGGGCACAAAAAGGAGGAGGCAATGTACTTGCTTATTTGGTGGAAGGAGTAATTTCCAGGCTGAGTTGGGCTTCTGTTGAATTTCCCATTAGGTAAATTCCTGGGTGCAGTTCTGTTTAATGATTTCATGTTCATTACCGTTATTATATTTCTTGAAAGGGGGAGGGACTACTTAACAAGACCAAGTGAAATAAAGAGCTTGGGTTGGGAGCCTGAGGCAGGAGGATCGAAAGTTGGAGGCTAGTCTGGGTGATTTGGTAAGACCCTGTCTCAAAATAAAAAACGAAAAAGGACTAGAGGTGTTATGTCAGAGGTAAAGAGCTCCTGTAGTCAATGTCCAATAACCACCCCCACCCCCGCATAATATTTTTCTAATATGTGTTTTCCAGAGTTATAATGTTCCTTTCCTCTCGGTATCCCTCCCCTGAAGATTTTATGATCTGCTTTAGGGGAGAAAGGAAAGGGGACTCCTGTTTCTGCTGTTTTCTCAAATGCCAACGTGCTGTATTTTGGGAGAGCACATTCTGAACACCACCTCCAGTCAATTTTTCAGAACACTTCATATTGCTATCTAAAATGATTTTTGAATTCATACATGATGTAAACTGGAAAGTCTACCCTGAATTACAAGTAGCCATTCATGTAATGTTAAGGCCAATGGGATTTTTATTTCTCTTCTTGGCTTCCTGCCTCATCCCTGTTCCCCCACAGTGTTTTCTATATTGCTCTAGGTGAGTTTTGAAAGGTTCAATTATGACAGATATCCAACTCTTACAATATTCATGCCCCCAGGCACGAATAATGTATAACAATATGCCTTTTAAAAATCAGTTTCATTAGGTTTTATCAATAAGCATCTAAACTAGTATTAAGTGAGGTTAGGTTAATGTTTTCCTTAAACTATATTTGGTAAGTCAAAATAAAGTAATGGAAAGAGTAATTTACAATATGAAAGATTTCAAAAGGACTCAAATGCAAGGGCCTCTTTCTTTCTTTTTTTCCTGTCTTTTCTGGGGCTAATTTTGGAAACACCTAGCCTTACTTTTGAGCATATGCATTTCTTTCTGGGCATTTGGGGGGTTTCTCATGATTTAGATTAGTCTCTCCAATGATGGATTCATTGGATTGTTCTTTGGTTCTCAGCCTTATGTTAAACAATCATTATCCAGCAAATATTTAATGTGCAATATTTTTTTTTTTTAAAAATATTTATTTATTTATTTTTCGGTGGACATAACATCTTTGTTTGTATGTGGTGCTGAGGATCGAACCCGGGCTGCACGCATGCCAGGCGAGCGCGCTACCACTTGAGCCACATCCCCAGCCCCTAATGTGCAATATTTATGAGTGATTTTTTTTTGTACTGGGGATTGAACCCAGGTGTTTTCTACCACTAAGCTACATTCCCAGTTCTTTTTATTTTATTTTGAGACTAGGTCCTGCTGAGTTGCTGAAGCTAGCCTCCAATTTGAGATCCTCCTGCCTTATCCTCCCAAGTAGCTGGGATTATAGGAATGAACCTCTGGGTCAAGCTTGTAAGTAATTTTTTAAAAAGTAATTTGTAATCTGACTTAGTTAAGATGAACATGAAACTAGTACTTCCATTCTCTAATTGTTGCCTTCCTCTCCCATTCCTCTTCTTTTCCCCTGATCCCTCCCTAATATGGTATGTTACCAAGGATACAATCAGGGAAATAGGGATCTTAGCTTAGAATCCGAGTTCAGGGACTAAGTCCCAAATTTTATTGATTCTAAGACTTACTCCCTTCCATTACCCACCCCACAGAAACATCTCTGATGTCAAGGTATCTCTTATAATTGATGGCTATCTAATAATTGCTGGGCAGGTCACAGTTGTTTTGTGGTTGTAGGAATCTGGTCATAGCTATCACATTGTTGTCCCCACTTTAAATGAGGCATTTGTATTTAATTGCCCTTTAGAATTTCTTCACAATAATCTCTATATGATTTGGCATAAAAATTATTGTATTTGCAGAAAGACATGGAAAAAGATTTATACAATTCATAATAAAACTATTGCTAAATAAGTCTAAAAGATGTTTTTTTCATAGGTATACAAAAATGCCAGGTGGTTAAGAAACCACTGTATCTGTAGGTCCTGCTCCTATAGATCTGAAGCTCTCCTGAATGGCAGCAGAGTGACCTTCAGAAAACCCAGTTTTCCTCCTCTGCTATCTGATGTCAGCCTGACCGCTGTCTGCCTACCCCCCCACCACTGGCCGCCCTTTATGGCAGAGACCAGGTAGTTAAGAAAACACTGTATCAGAGTTTAACTGACATCAGATTTTTTTTCTTTTTTCTTTTTCTTTTTTTTTTAGTGGTAGATTTAGGGAATCTGAAGATCAGTGATGCCTTAGATTTAGTGAAATATGGTAGTAGTTGCTTTGGATTGGAAAGCTCAATCTCACATCCTTTTCTTGGTAAACTTCATGTTCTAATGTGCTTAATATATTCTTAGCATTTAAGAGCACATTTAAAGGGAATTCTCTGTAATCTGTTTACTGCGAACTTTGTTCAAGTTCAAACTGCAGTTGTTCAATCATATTCTACTTCAAAGCATCACACTGAGGGGATACTGAAAAATCTGGTGACCATGTTGCAATAAGGAGTATTACTACTCATAAAGGTACAAGAAAATTTGTGATTATAGGAATGCTGTAGCTGAATAAGATCTGTGTTACAGTTTTCTCTAAAAAAATCTTTATGGCTTCATAAGGAATAGTTTAAAGACATACGTAAGATTGAGATCATTCAGTTAATCATCTGACACACATTTGTAGAAAACTACTAGATTTCAATAGTAGAGCTCAATATTCATTCACACCTAATATTTAGTGAGCCTACTATGCGCTAGGCATCGTGTTTGGCTCTAAGAACAAATAGGAGACTGACAGTCTTTCTGGAGCTTTTCTTTTTTAAAATTAATTAATTAATTTATTTGTTCTAATTTGTTATACATCCCTAGAGCTTTTCTATTGGAGAAGACAGGTCAATATTAGCAGGAGGTATTTACCTTTTAAAAAAAATAAGCTTTTTTCTTTTTTCCCAAGAACAAGGGTTTGAACCTAAGACATCATGCAAATTGGGCAAGCACTCTTTTTCACTGGGCTACATCTCTAGCCCTTTTAAAATTTTATTTTGAGACAGGGCCTTGCTAAATTGCCCAGACTGGACTCAAACTTGCAATCTTCCTGCCTCAGTCTCCTGAGCAGCTATCTTCACAGGTGCACAGCTATGCCTGGGTTGAGTCATTTTCTTTCTTTCTTTTTTTTCTTTCATTATTTAGAGAATAATTTATTAGTTTCTGTAATCAAACCCATGTGGATAAGATCTTACATATTTAATATAGTGCATGACCCCTGAACAAATGGAAAAAAATCAAGTTTAACATTTCTAGATCAATAAGGCTGTTAATTTCTGTACAATGTCATCTCAACATGGTAAACTGGGATACTTTTTCCATAATTGATAGCACAGCTCAAGTTTCCAAAAATTCAAATTTAATTATATATCTCGGCAACAGCTTTTTCAGGTTTTGTAGTTATCCAAACAAAATTATAGAGACATCTGGCATACTCCATTAAAAGAGGGAGGGGTGTGGGTAAAAAAAAAAAAACAAACAACAAACCAAAATTGGAGAAAAGAGCAAAGTGCTGTTACTGTTGTGAAACCTGGAACCATTTTTTTAAAATTAGCTTCTCAATCATTATCTGAAAAACAGAGAGTCACTTTCTTAATGATATTTGATTCTCTCTCCTGCCCTTTCTGGCTGGACAATGGCAATGATTTTGGGGTGTTTGAAAGCAGATTCACCTCTCACCTCTGAGTAGCTATGTGTTTTATGTAAGCCTTTTATTATACTTGATTAACTAACTCTTTTACTAATACATTGTGACATTGGACACTGAATCTACTGGAAACTTGATCTTGAACTTCCCAGCCTCCAGAATTGGGATAAGTAAATTTCTATTATTTATAAATTACCTAGCCTGAGGCATTTTGTTATAGCAGCCTGAACGAACTAAGACACTGAGTATGTTGATGAGCTTTCTATCACTGTGACAAAATACCTGAGAAAAACAAAGTTAAAGGAGAAAGATTTATTTTGGCTCAAAGTTTCAGTTCATGGTCAGAGCATTATGGTAGAAAGATATGGTTTAACAAAGCTGCTCAGTTCATGGCAGCCAGGAAGCAAGGAAGGGTGGAAAGGGTCTAGGGACAAAATATAACCTTCAAAGGCATGCCCCTCAGTGATCCATTTCTTCTAACTAAGCCCCACCTTATAAAGTTTCTACCATCTCCCAAGTGCCACCTGCTAGGGACCAAGCCTTTAACACATGAGCCTTTCAGAGATAATTCTGATCCAAACCATAACACTGAGTGTCCCATGAAATGAAACAGTCAGTGAGAAAACTCTTATGGGGTGACTTTAAGAATAAGTCTGGCTGGGCTTGGTGGCACATGCCTATAATCCCAGCTACTTGGGAAGCTGAGGCCCAAAGATCACAAGTTTGAGGCCAGCCTGGGTAACCTAACAATACCTTGTCTCAAAATAAAAAATGTAAAGGGCTGCAGATGTAGCTCATTGGCAGAGGGCTTACCTAGCATGACAAGGCCCTAGGTTTGATCCCAGCACCACAAACAAATAAATACAAAAACAAGACCAAATAAAATGTGAGGTAAGTTGTCTCCTTGGGTATCTTTTCTTTTCTTTTTTTGGTGCTGGGTATCTGACCAGGGCCTCCAGCATGTGAAGTACATTTCATACCAACTAGACCCCCAGCCCTAGCTAAGTTGTTTTCTGTGACTCACAAACTTCTAGTAACATGTTTATTCTACCAGTGGTGGCTTTAGAGAAAGGATCAATCATATAAGGGGCCGTGGCCCACATTATTTTGTTTTCTTTTTTTATATATTTATTTTTTAGTTGTAGGTGGACACAACATATTCATTTTATTTTTATTTATATGTGGTGCTAAGAATCAAACCCAGGGCCTCACACGTGCTAGGCGAGTGCTCTACCGTTGAGCCACAACCCACATTCTATTGTTATCAAGGTAGAGACAGAGGAACTGCAAGGTGCAGAGGCAGGATATTGAAGCCAGAAGTGGCCAGAGGAATATATGACCTACTGAGAATTTGAAAATATCTTGAGGAAGGTGGGTGCAGAGGGAGCTTTGTTCCACTGTGGGACTTTGATCTGAACTTATTTTAATCTGGAAAGACAGGGAGACTCCAGCGGGACATCTTTGTGACACAAGAAGTGAATATTTTTGCTTAATATTCTTAGACATATGTGTCAAATTTAACTACGGTAAATTTCTGAAATTGGGTCCAAGGGCATTTATTTTTAATGGTTTTGATTGCTATCAAGCCTGCTGTTTTTTTTTCTTGCTCTTTTTTTTTTCTTATCAAATGTACTGAATTTGTAATCACAGATGTTAACAAATTTTTAAGTAAATTTATTCTTCCTTGGTATATAAAACATAAAAATTGTATTTTAATGGGGGTAATGTGATGTTGTGTTACTGATATACGTTGTGTAATGTTTTTGCTTTTACTATTTATTTTTTAGTTGAAGTTGAACACAATACCTTTATTTTATTTATTTACTTTTATGTGGTGCTGAGGATTGAACCCAGGACCTCGCACATGCTAGGCAAGTGCTCTACCGCTAAGCCACAACCCCAGACCCCCTTGTGTAATGTTTTAATTGGGTTAAACATACCTATCTACTCAAACACTTATTATTTCTTTATGGTAAAAACTTTCAAAATTCTTCTAGCTTTTTGAAATGACCATACATTATTGTCACCTATGGTTACCCCTCTGGGCAATGGCACACAGGAATCTCTTAATCCTATCTGAGTATGCCCTTCCCTCCCTCCCCGCCACTCCCACAGCCTCTGGTTACCACCATTCTACTCTCCACTTCTATGAGATCAACTTTTATATATTCCACATATGAGTGAGATCATGTGCCTGGCTTATTTCACTTCATTTAATGATCTCCAGCTCCATCTATGTTGTCTCAAATGGCAGGATTTCATTTTTTTTTTTAATGGTCGAATAGCATTCCATTATGTATATGCACCACATTTTCTTTATCCATTCATCACCTGATGGACATTGAGGTTGTTTGCATTTCTTGGCTTTTGTGAGTAACGCTGCAATGAACATGGGGTGCAGATGTCTCTTTGACTTACTGATTTCATTTCCTTTGGATATATATCTGGTAGTGGGGCTGCTGGATCATATGATAGGTCTATTTTAAATTTTTGGAGGAACCTCTATACCTTTTCTGCTTTTATGCATTCTTTCAGGATTCTGCTTTTTTAAAAAAAATTTAAAAATTTAAAAAATTTTGAGATAGGGTATTGCTCAGTTGCTCAGACTGTCTCCAACTTGCCATCCTCTAGCCTCAGTCTCCTGAGTAGCTGGGATTACAGGCAAATACCATCGCATATGCTTTTTGTCTACCTTGGAAACTTTGGGCTGCCTTAGTGTTCCCTTC